AGGGCCAGATCCCACTAGCCCCTATTGTTCATTTCTGACCGTTGATCTTCGTAATCGAGGGTGAAAAATGAATAATCCAGGGTAGTGGGATCTGATCCTAAGAGCTCCCACATGACACACACAGAGAGAGAGAGAGAGAGAGAGAGTTTTGTTCCATTTATTGTTATGAGTGTGAGACAGAGAGGAAGAGTGAGCCAGAGAAAGAAAGAGAGAGAGAGAGGGAGGGGGGAGGGCTACCAGAGAGAGAGAGAGAGAGAGAGAGAGAGAGGAAGAGAGAGAGAGAGAAAGAGAGAGAGAGAGAGGAAGAGGGAGGGGCTTACCACGGAGAGAGAGAGAGAGAGAGAGAGAGAGAGAGGCTGAATGGCAAAATTGAAATATGGGTCAAATTGTGGCCGCTATCTATTTCACAGTTGGAGTTATTTTTTTGAATTTATTGAGCGTTTTTCCTGGAAAGATCTCAGTTGGTAAGGCTCGCAAGTGGCATTCAGGAGGTTGTGGGTTCAATCCCCATTGACCTCATGTACCTTCCTGGGCATGCTTGGCGCCCGCCACCTAGAGATAGTCCACTGGATCCCCGGATCGGCATTGAGCAGAGTCTGCTGATGTTCGTAGGGGAGGGGACCACCACCTGAGGGGAGGCACAGGGATTGGTCCTGTTGGCATGGTCCCTGATGCTACTAGCTGTCCCCTAGCCGGTAGCCCCTGCATGTTCTCTCGTGAACACGGTTCTAGCCGCTACGGGGTTCCCCCGTATGGCTACACTAGGGGTAGTGGTAGGTAGGTAGTCTGAAGTGAAATTGAGAGAAAAGTATAGATTCGACCATTATTTCGCAGTCTAAATGATTTTTTGAAAATGTTCTAATATTTTTCCTGGAAAGAACCTGCCCTCATCTAAGGATTCTCAAAATTTCAGATTTTTCTGTGGGTTCCTCTGAGTACAAAAAATCGCTAAAGTTGCCTCTTACAAAACGCCTGTTTCGTTGCCCTGACCTCCCTGTTTTGAGAAGACGGGCCTCACGCCTGGGCCTGATGGCCCTTTTGCAGTTCACATGCCCTCACTTCTTTTTGGGGTCCACTTCCACCCGAGGACTGGTCCTTCCTTTTTCCGAAAGTCTTGGTTCTACCCGAGCTAGTTGTAGGTAGTCCGCAAAAATTTCGTCAAGGACTGGTCCCCCAATTTTTTTTGCCCCCTAACAACCCACTTTGCATCCTGGTCGCACGCCGCCGAAAATGCGACACCTTGACACAGACGCAGAACCCCACTAGACCGCAGCCTTAGGGCTGCGAACAAGCTATTTTTCCGGTCTGATACAGCCCAGATGACGGTGCGTTATGTTAGCAGGAAGACGGTACAGCCTCGCCATACCACTGTCCAAACCACTTTCTTCGAAAGGTCTGCAGCCTATCCAGCGGCCTACCGTCTTCCCCCAAACATGACACACCCTGAAAATGAACGTATAACCAGCTGGCCTAAGGGCGTCGTTAGACACTCCTCCGGGACGCGATTCCAAGGATTTCACTGTCAGCCTAAAACACTCCGAGGATGCCAACAAATCCTCGGGCTCCGAGGATTTCCTAGGCAAAGCGTCCTCGGCTCCAAGGAACCTCGCAAGGTCCTTTGGAGCTCAAGGATCCCCAATTCACGGGGTGTTGGCGTCGAGCGTAGAAGGAAAATTGGAGGCCGAAGGTGGTCCAGTGGTGGTCCAGGGACCGGGTATTGGCCTTCAACATCATGGACGTCCTCCAACGGCCTCGTCCGTTTACCATTGGCGTTGGATGGCAACGGGGCGCATTGTCATTTCCAGCCGCTTCGTTTGGGGTCCGTGGCGTTCTGGTGGGGTTTCCAACGGTCGTTAATTTTGAATTTGTGGTCGTGGTGGCGGCCGCTATCTGAACGACAATGCGTAATCTTGGAGTGTTTTGGACTGTCGTGCGTTGTCACAGTGTTCACACTCTACAAGATCCGTGCCCACACTATCCTCTCTCCTGTGTTGTTCATGGCTGACCTCCACTGCAGGCTGCCGCTGTTGCTGCTCATCGCCGTGTTGCTTTTCTGGTGGTTGACGTGTTCCACTTGTGTTTCCTGTGGCGACTTCCTGAGAGGAACCAGACGAGGCAGTCGTCGAAGATGGCAAGCAGGATGGACAAACGGTGACGAACAGTACACCGCCTGCAGGGGGGGGGGGGGTGTATCACGTCACCGAAGTGTTCCCGTGGAAGCACGCAGGCAGCCGTCGCTTCATCGCACACCCGCAGATTTTCTCACGTCCCGCCCGTTCTCAGTTTCATCTCAGTTTCAGTTGCCGCCACCACCATCGTCTTCTCAGTGGACGTCAACACCGCACGCCCATCTCCCCCACCACCCTCCATTGCCCACGGACTTTGAAAAGACGTGGTCACCCGCAAGCCTGCCTCCTTCCCCGTGTACATGCGTCCTCAACGTCCACGTCCACACGCCACGGCGGCTGCACTTTACGCGTCCTCAGGGCAATCGGAATGGATGATGGCACAACGGAGGTCGTCGCCCACCGAAGCTCGCTCTCCAAGCTGCCACGCGCTGTCACTCAAGGAGCCGACCTGACGATGGACCTCTTCGTCGGACACACCTTCCACCACACACTACGCATCGTCATCGTCACTCAACGGAGCGAGAAGGAGACGACATTAAGGGGATGGTGAGGAAAACAACATATCCATTGCCTAGCGGCCGTGCTGGAAATGCTGTTGTGCTGCCTAGATGTCATCCCTCAGATGTTAAACTGATAAAGAACAGATACTACAGTCTTCACCCGAATACAACGTACCGTCATTATAGCTGTATTTGGTCTATCTTGCCGTCTAAATACAGCCATAATGACCGTACGTTGTATTCGGGTGAAGAAGGCAGTATCATACTACACTTGATCTTAGCCAAAAGGCCGAGAAAGGATTCAAAGATGATATCTCAAGGTCGTCGCCCTTTCAAACAAACAAAGAAGAAAAAAAGAAAAAAAAAAAGAGGGTGGAAGACGGTACGTTGTGAGGTCTTTTCTGGCCGTGTGAGAAACTCCTTCAGCAGGGGCCTGGACCCACTAGCACGGTATTCTACCACGCCGTTCAGGATTTCGATCACGTGTGGCATCGAGTGACTCAGTACGGTCGTCGAATAGATCGCATCTCGACGGCCTGGTAGTTTCCGAGCGGGGACTGTAAAGATGCCCACCTCCCATCCAATGAGATGCGTCGAAAAAAAAAAAACAACGAAGTTGGACTAACTTGGACATGATAGCTCGTGGCTTTGCGTGGGCGGGAAGTCAGGATTTTATGGGCTTTTAAAGGGGGGGGTTGATTTCCAGACTTCATTTTTTTTTTTTTTGGCTCTGAGAAATAGAACTTGAAATGTGAAATTCGAATATTGTGGTGCTTCTGACAGGAACGCTTCCGCGTCTGTCGGATGGCCTGCTAAAGGCATCATGAGATACATCGCGAGGAATGTATCCCAATACCCGTTACTTGTTCATCCTCGTGATTGTGTTCGTGGACACATTTTATTGCCACGGTGCATCACTTTGAAGACTTACGTGAAGGAGATCGTACCAACCCATGAATTCGGGTGCACAGCTGTTCTTCATAGTTTTATGTGCTATTTTAATTCATTTTAAATCAGAAAACGATCCATTCATGCAAATAAAAAACCACTTTGTATTTTCAAAAAAGTTGAAAAAACCATAAAACTGTGTCACACGTCTTAGAATACT